AAACCTGTAATGCTTCAATACATTTCTTTAAATGTCAGCCAGAGCTGGCAAACTAAGAGCAAGTCCTAAAACACATCCCTGGGGTTGACATGTCCTTGGTTCTGAGGTTTTGAGAGCCTCACATTAACAGTCTTGTTAAGTTTTGTCCTCTCAAGGTCACAGCTGCTGTTTCCTGTCTGACTTGATACACATCCTCCTGCTAGACAGACACACACAGAATGGCAACACACAAAGATGATTATGAGAGTTGTCAGATAAATGTCTGATTCTACACTTTGATATAAGAGGTGTGGACCTCAAAGTCCGAGGAGCAGCAGAGGGGGGAACCGAACAGACTGACACCCCAGCAGCAGCTCTGGCAGCCTCCTTTCTCCAGTCCAGCTGGAATCCCAACTATGTCTGCTGTAACTAGCCCTAGAAACAACCAACAAAGGCTTCAAAATGCTGCTCAAAGAAAACAGAGGAGAGGAGAGGAAGGAGGGCAGGAGAGGTGAGGCATGGACAGAACAGCAGACACAGGGATGAGGAAGAAAAAGAACCCAGCAGGAGGAGGAAGAGAAGAGAGATGATGAAAAAGAAGATGGATGACAGGGAGAAGCACTGAAGTGTGGAGAAATAAAGGATAGAGAGAAGAGACAAGGTGAGAAAAGAGATGACAGTTTAGGAAAACAGATGAATAAGACAAGGAAGGAAGTTAGCGAAGGAAGATATATTGCAAAACACAATTTGTCCAAGTTAAATGCTCAAACTCTTCAGTGAAGTGTGGAAAAACTTGCTATCTAACCATTTTAGGTTTTATCAGTTCAATTTATTAAGAGCAATCATGTCTTATGCTTGATTACATCTAAAAGAGCTCCATAAAAGTGATCCTTGTTCTTCGGGAATATTGCACGCTGTATGGTTTCAAATTTTTCATTTATGCATTAAACCGCCTCCACCTCTGTTATCATCTAAGCTTCTCAGTTCTCATTCAAACAAAGTAGAAAAGAAAAATGTTAGCTTGTGATAAGCAACAGCTGAAGAGCCAGCTCAAACATCTCTTTGTATGCGGCCATTTCTACATTCTGCCAGTAATAATAAAATGTTGGTTGTCTAACAAAGCCATATAAAGCATAACATAATGTAGCCTCCATACGTTAAACCAATACCAATTATAAGGGAGTCAAACGACATGGTACAACAAAAGAAAGTAATCTTCAAAAAGACTCACTCACTCACTCAAAGCTCACTAGTCAAGCTCCGACAGTGTTTGTGTGTGACTGACGTGTTGAAAAGCCAATTCCTTCATAAAAGGAAGTGATGACCGGCATAGAGTTTGGACTACATCCTGTGTATGAGCCTACACAGTGGATTTAACGTAATGTGGCCTTGAGAGAAAAACAGACTTTCAAATCTGCAGTCAGTATTAATAGATCCATATTCACTGTCACTGTCTGCAGGAAAAATATGAAGATGAAAATGCTGCTTATTTATACTCTCATCCCCTGCATGCAGCCATTCAGACAGATGTATAGACATGCATGGATCTGTCTGAACAGAAACATTCGCCTTCAGAACATGCATAACAACATTCTTTTCATTCTCCATGTATGTTTTACCTCTCCACACTGGCACTTTCTTCACCCTGATTAACAAACAATTTGTTTTTGACAAATTTTCAGTGTTGAGGTTGGGTTACACAATGATGCAGTGTAAAAAAATGCAAGTTAAGTTAATTAACAAAACCTACTGTACAAGAAAATCAAATAGGGCATATCAAATCTCTTTTTTTAATTCCTCACTCGCATAACTCTGGCCCAACAGGCCGTAGAGGATTAAGTGACTGAACAGTCTATAGAATTGGCAGGAAAGCAAAGAATTCAACTGGACAGTTGTCACTCTGACAAAAATTTAATTGGCCCCCACTTGCTGAGCGGGAAAACTAATTGGTTTGACAGCACTGAGGAGGGAATCTAATTGGCTAGGTAATGTCAGTCACAAGAGGGCGGGGGGTTGGGGGTGCCATCTGGGTGTCAGCAAACCGTTAGATAATCCTGGGGGCTCTCTTCTTTTTTTTCCCCTCTCTATGCTGTCCCATGCTGTCCCGATGACAACTGCTGCCAGTCTGTCTCCTATGTCTCTTGCTTAGTGTCAGACAGAGACATTCACAGAGCAATACTACAGCTCATACTGCAACAGCTGGCATCACCAGTAAAAATGTGAAAAGCTCAAGTTTCTTCAGTCTGAGTACTGTAAGTTTATCAGAGAGAAAGCGAAAAATACTTTCAAGTAAAATTATTCAAACATGTTTACCAATGGTATGTGCACAAAGTACTGCACAGAATTTTTTCTTCCAACTTCAGTGGTATCAGTGCTGAACTCTAATGTTTTCTTTTGAGTGAAAACAACAGCTTTTGGCTGGAGGGTAGCACCAGCAGAGCCTTTTTAGCACGACTGGATCAATCGCAAGCAGCATAATCCCAACTAACACTCAGTACAATATATTTCAGAACAGAGGGGGTGAGGAGGAACCAATATGTGTAAGTGAGAGTGTGTTTGTGGGAGCTCAAGAATGGGAGAAAATACAAACCCCATTAATTATCGCCTAGAGCTCTTTAAAGAAGGTGGAAAAGTCACCTGTGGTTTCTAAGCTTCCTTTAATGAGAGTAACAGTGTAAGACAGAGATGACAAACAGCACTGGATAAAAAGATCTAGCATATGTCTTTGATGGGTGTCGCCATCCAAAAATCCCTGCAGTAGCGGCAATGTTTAGATCCATGAGCTGTAACATACATTTTAGCTAATGATACAGCCTATTTTAGTTAGCTGAGCCTACTGGAGGTGAACACGCAGTGCTGGTAAAGTGGGAGAGGCAAACAAAGAGCAGTCTCACCAACATAACATCTGACCAATACTGTAGGCCTTCTGTGTGGGAGGGTGGCTGGGCAAGACAACTACCAACAGCTGCCTCAGTCCAAAACCAAATGCTCACAAAAAAAAAAAGACTCAGATACACATACTCCCACGCAGACACAGAAGCCCTGCAGAAAAGTGCGCACACACACATACACACACACACGCAAACATAAACACACAGAGCTGGCTGTGACTGGCAATCCCTGACATCCTGTCAGGCGATCACTAAGCCAGTCACAGTTCATTTCAGCTCAACGCTGGCTGTTCTCTACAGGAGCATTCAACCAACCACACATCCAGATCGTTCCCTTTATTTACAGAAAGAAATCCTAGTGGGTACCTGGTCAAACATCCTAGTCTCAATATGTAGAGCTGAGGAGTTGCCATGTGGCTTGGCAAACCTCTTGTACCGTCACCCTCTTGTACTTTCTTCACACATCCTCCTATCATATTTAAGGTTTTTAACCATTTTGGAAAATCACTTGGTGTCTCGCTCACTCCTCCAACCCTTCCCCCTCGTATCCTTCCGGTTGCATTCCACTATACAAGGTCCCATAGGGGAAAATACTCTAAAAATACTGCTGACTTGTTCACAATTTTGAAGAGGCTGTGTATGGAAGAGGAAAGATGCCCTTGTCCAACTGAACCTGCATTGGCCTCCCTAAATATCTTTCTGGTTTGAGGGATTCCTCTGAGAGTCTAGAAGCAGCCTGAAGAAATTGGAGGATGAAAAACAAGCATGGGAAAGAAAGATGGAATTGGTAGTTGAAACCTGAAGGTAGGCAGCTTCGTAGAGCTGCAGGAGGTCGAGAACAGAGGAAGAGCAGGAAGAAGAGGACACCAACCAGAGACAGGAAACAGCTAGTTGGGTTAATCAGCTCCTCATGCAACACAACTGCAGCTTAATCCTTCTCGAAACATTTCACATTGGATACTAAAGTAAACTCTGCACATGTACAAATGTAAAGAAAGATTTGTACAGAAGACCTGCTTCCTCTTATCCTTACAATTCTGCCAAACTAACTATGAGACACGGACGCGAGTTCACACAAGTAGTTATCCCATTAAAGCGCAACACAGTAGAATCTCTCGAGAAGAGGAAATCAGTTCCACTGGAAGCAAGCTTGGTTGAATGCTCCTTAGACAGGCGAGCAGGAGGGGTAAATGCTGACACTGTAGAGTGTAGCATTATCGGAAAATATGAAAAAATGTTTGGCTGGCAGGAAGCAGCACTCTGGAGCCAGACAAAGAAAAAGGAAAATTGTCTTGTGTCGTGCTATATATGTTAGGAAGTGACTGGAAAGATAGACAGATTTAACATCTAATGCCTCAGCCTCCTCCAGCAGCCACCCCATCTCATCATCAAAGGACCTGCTATAGCATCTTCTTCCCTTTTAATTAAATAAAGTCAAACAAATGCTGCATTGCTGTGTAATCTTCTTCCAGATTCTGTGATGCTGCCACTGTTTCTCCACTTAAGGCTACTATTCCTAGTTTAATCTACAGCACAGCAGGAAATGTGAGCACTGCAGCTTCTAGGGGCGGGGTGTTTCCCCCAGTCGGCTGCAGATGACAGTATAGGGTGACTGACACAAAAAAAGGGGCAGGGGTAGTTGTGGAACTGCTTGCTGCCTCCTTCTACCATGGGTGTTTGCAGACAAATCTGCACAGCTCCGAGGGATCCTAACAATAGCTGTCTGCAAAGATTTCTGACAGTGTGACCCATCATTGCCCCCAATACAAGGTCCCTTTGTGCGTAGCCTACATTCACTTCAATTCAATTTCAAGAGCTGGACTGAGGCTGGAGTCCTTGAAGAATTGCTTAATTTGCTCACGTGGGGAATGACCCCACAAATTGCCCCAGGGTGAGTATGATCTTAACCCACCTCCACACAAATAGACACTGCACAAAAATGCATATACTGCACGTCTATTTATACAACTATTGGAAGTGGCTACTGTATTATGGTTCTGAGGCATTCGTGGTGCGTTTGAGGACCCAACATTGGCTTGCCCTCATTTGCTCAATCCTGTTACACTATAGTGGCCAATGCAGGGGACAGATTGGTCTGGAAGATGTCTGAATGTGTGTCAGATTACTTACATCTCAAGCATTATCTCGTTCAGGTAAATCCCATCCACTAATTCAATATATTCCGATAATTTGGTGCCATCGGTCACTGTCGGCTGTCCGACTGTCTTCACCTGAAAAGAAATGGGACAATGCAAATAAGTGTTAAGATAATCAATAAACACTTAAAAGAAATGCTTTCGCAGGGCAGGGGTGTTTAATTAGTGGTCTTAACACACGTTTGAATAGGTAATTAGGGATCTTACCCAGCAGACCAGAGGCGTGAGCATAAACTGCTCCAGCAAAGGGGTGAAAACCTCGCTTTCCATATTTTCCAGGGCAACTGGCGCCGTTTAATTCAGCAGATATGGAAAAAATATGCACTCCTTGGGAGAAATGTATGTTTGTTTAGACTCCACTCATGTAGCTGATTCAATTAAATCGACGCTCATTTTGGCTAAAGGCCAGTGAAACACGTCCGGGGTTTCTAAGAGGAAAAAAAAAAAGACGTTAATCCACAATCTTCTCGACACGACCCAGCTGTTTCAGATGCCAACGACGGGGTTTGGCTACCTCATGGGAAGGACAAGAAATCACATTTTTTTAGATTAAAAAAATGTGATCTAATTTAGCGACCTATCTACAGAGGCGGGTGAACAGAGACTGCATGAGACCTATGCCAGGTATGGTTTTATGCTAGCGGCTTACTCAGGAAAAAGGACCGTTACTGGCAAAAAAAAAAAAAAGATTCTGGCTCAAACAGGAGACTCTAACGTTAAAGGGAAATATTCCTCCGACACGACTAAAGTAAAGAAAATATCCAGTGCGGAAAAATCCAGAGGTTTAATATCCCGGTTTTCAGTTTGTCGGCTTACTCCTCATATTTATTGTTAAGTCATTTCTGACCGGTTACTCATCTCCTCCTGTCTGTCTCCGTTCAAATGCTGCATACTACTGAACAGGGAGTTGAGAGGATGACTGGAGGACACTGGAGGACCGCCTCCCTCTCTCTGCCTCTCCTGTGCATCTCCCTCCGCCTCTTTTTGCTCTGAAAGAAAAATAGGGCATTGATCAAAGCATCCCTTTCTGTTTAGATTTCCGTCTCAGGGTGAGTAAAGGTTCTCAGAAAACATTTGTTCATCTAGTGCAGTTAAATTATTTGAAGAGCTGCGTTGGAAATAAGCAAAGGCTTTTAAGGAATAATGCAGAAATAAAGGGGATGGGAATAAGTTTAGATGCAGCTCTAGCGATGAATGGCATACTAAACATTTTTTGCTTGTTTTATTCCTTGGGAAGTAGAAATACTCATGGAACCATGCTTACCTTTTGTCTGCCCTTACATCACAGTACATTACAGCATGAAGGCAAGTAGGCTACTGACACCTGGTGGGTAGTGCACAGTCTACTGTAAATGTACAGTAAAGGACTTCTGTGAGCTCTATCAAAATATATAGAGAGGGTTAAAAAAAATCACTGTCCAATTAAGGAAATTACTCCTATAAAGCTGATATGATGCACTTCATTCATGTTGGACATGCATTATTTGCAGTCACATATCACATTAAAAGCTGCAACTAACACTTATTAATCACTAATTAATCAGCTGGTTACTTCGTTGATTGTTCGTGTGGTCTGTAAAAAATCAGAAAACTGTGAAAAATACACATCATCACGATATTCCAGAGCAAGCTGACGACTTCAAATGTATTGTTTTGGCTTACCAACAGTCCAAAACCCCAGAATATTCTATGTAATATTATGAAGGACTAAGTAAAGCAGGAAATTCCCACATTTAATAACCTGGAATCATCACATTTTGGCATTTTTGCTTGAAAAATAACATTGAACAATTAACTGATTAGTTGCAGATTAATTTTCTTTCAATGAATTGTTTGTTGCTCTATATCACATCCTATTTTGATAGTAATTTTTTAAAACTGAAATGACAGTTAGCTCAAGCTTCTTCTGCTTTTCTCTGTTTTATATTACATATTATATTATTATATTACATTACATTACATTGTAAACTTAATATCTTTGGGTTTTGGTGTGTAAATGGAAAAAAAGTAGAAGAAGTTAACTTGGGCTTCAGGAAACTGTGGCTAGGCTGCACATTTAATTAAGACAATAATTGGCAGATTTATCATATGAAAATTCTGCATGAAGTTCTGTAATGGGGACTTACTGTGATATGTGCAGTTATCAACCACAATTTTGAAGCAAGAAATGCATGGTGAACTTCATTTAACGTCAGCAACCAGCACACAGTATTCCTTTCAGCTGTATCAGCAGCAAGGTAATGACTGAAAGATAATTCCAGACCCAGGTTAATCACTATAGATGAAGCAGACACCTAATCAACAACTGATGAATGGCTCTGTTGGTGTGAATAGGCAGCAGAGGACGTGTGGCCAAATAGCCAATTAAAACAAGATCACTGATTTGGGAACATGGGACCTGGCTCACCTCTCAGGAATCTAGTTAGAATTAATGGATTATATATGTTCCCTTAAAACTTTTAATAAGCACATTTCAGCTGCAGCAGCAGCAGCAGCAGCAGCTCTCTTGGATAAGCAGAGGTTCACATTTGCATTTAGAATAACGGTCGCTGTTGATGGTGCTTGAGCTTGAGGCAGTACAGTATGAGATCCCGACTAGACCTGTTGTGTCTTTTTTTCTGTAAAACAGGTTTGATTAGAGGGATGAAAGCTGAGTGAGAGCACATCAGGAGGTTACAGTATACACTGCAGCTTGTCTGTCACTCACACTGAAATCTGCATCTTCATGTAGATGTTACATCAGGGCAATCAGGCAAATCAGGCTCTGCTCTTAACCAGCTGGTTCTGTTTAGGCAATAGCAAAATGATCATGATCATGATGTCACAGCAAAACCCTAAGTGTATTGAACTGTGCTAGAGTGTGTTTCATCAGATGAATGAATTTTTTCTTCACAATGTACATATTCTGGCTCTAAGTATTTCTTTATAACATTAAATATTTATTATTGAATTTGAAGTTTAAAAATAAATAAATAAATGTTTAACTTTCAAAAACTCAGTTTATCTGCGTCATCACAGCTGGGTGGGTGTTGTTTTGACAGATTTGATTGACAGTGGTCTGGCAACTTAAGCAAACAGCTCCACATCTGTCATCACATTTTGATTCAAATGTGGCCACATCTGGATTGGTAGAGATGCATAAATGTGACAACACTTTTTTTCATTCCAGACCCACGCACTTCAAACCACTGAGAAGAAATAAAATACAAAAACTCTCATGTGAAATAATCAAAACTGACAAATTTGGCAGGAAATGTTCATGTAGGAACCCATTGCCTAGAGTAAGAAGCAAATTAAGAAAAAAGGTTTTCAGAGCCTTTTATTCATTTTTATATTTTGTTCTCAAGTCATTTTTTTGGCTATTGCTCCCACAAAATTCAATTTCCCTTTGGAAATCAAGTTAACTATCTTATTTTGATAATGTAAAATATAAATGTGAATTTGCTGCAGAATCTATTCAAACCAAATCTTTTCAAATCAAATTTAGCCCTTTTCTGAGGCAACTCACACATCTCTGCTAACCCTATCACCCCAGCAGACGATTAAACATTGACGCAGATAATGAAAACCTTTCATGGCTCGTGTAGTGCCTGCTTACCCACGTAGTGGCCTGAACACAGTTATGTGCCGCTCTATTACTGTGGATGATTAGATGAATATTTTGTAAAGCTCAATGTGTCAGTGATTGTGTGTTAGCATTTGTTTGTGTTGGTGTGGGATTCATTAACCTTGGATTGAACAGGGTGCCCCTGCCTGCTTCATCAAAAATCTATTATTCATGATGCTTTTAAGTTTTGTTCACAAAGCAGCATCCACCTCCACCCAATGACTCAGTGATTGTATAGACCCAGAGCAGCATTCCTCTCACACACATATGCTACCCAGTGGAAACCCACCAACCGCCTCTTTTGGCTAAAACTCCTCAGCACTAGTGTGCACATGGAAACACATGGAATTTTTTTCCTCTAGTTGTTATTAATTGGGCCCAAGGATAGAAAATATCCACCCACTGCAGTGCCACTGTGAAATCAACATATAAAAAAAAAAAAAAAAAAAAGGTTCACTCTCTGAACAACTGGGTGACCTTGCAGGTCCTTTCTCAGATAAAACTCTCTTGCTGTTTTCTTTCGATGACTGCTGTTTCCTGTTAGTTAT